CTATAATCATGGGGGATTAAGTTAAAGAGGCTTGAGCAGTCCCTTCCACTTTTCTGTTCTTAAAAATCAGAACTGCATTGGAGCAAACAAAGCCACGCCCTTATGTGGAGGTCATCACTGGGTGCAGATGAATCTTTTGGTCTCCTCTTTCTCCCAGTGGTTATCAGAGCTCTTTGGATTTTGTCCCCCTCTTGACATGCCACTAGAAACCCCATTAGGGGCAGCTGCAGCCTCCTCCAAGAAGTGACTACAGTCAGAAACCTGTAGCATAAAGTAAGTAATTTCATAATTTGGCAGGTAACACATTTTGGCTGTCCTACTGCCTTCCATCTTGCTTTTTATGCAAGCTTGGACAATTCCACAAAGCCTGTCTTTACACAGCTACTCTGAATTTGCATCACTGTATCTGAGAAGGAAAACTGTCTGCTTTCTTCAGTGCTAGCTGGCTTTTAGGGACATAGTTTTGTGCCAGGTAGGAAAGGTGTCTGTAGGCTTGTGTGTACTAACACAGTGAGATATACATGCAAGATTTTATAGCTCTTAAATGCAACATGAGAGGGCTTTAGAGAACATGCTAAGTAACTCTGGGTTACAAGAAAATATAACAACTGTAATCTAAAAAAGCACCTTAATTCCCTCATAACAAAAATCATAGCCAACACCAACCAGGATTCCTCCTTTCTAAGAGATCAAGATCATCTTCAGGAAATAAAAACCCCAAACTACAAATAAAATAAAAGCCAAATTCTTACCTATCTGTTAGGATAGCTGGATTCTTTTGCAAGGGCTGGCACTTCCCCAGACATGAAATTCTGTTATAATAGCACTGACTCTGTAATCCTCTGTGATAGAACAGCATCCTTGAAGTATCATGTACTTCAGAACATAGAATTCAACCTCTCAAGTACTTAAGTACTCTGAAGTACAACAACAAAAATGTGATTTTTACAATTTTAAGGAAAAAACACACTTCGTCAGAGATAGTTTATGTATATTTTGGCCAGAGTTGGAAGGAAAAATAATTTCACTCAAGACCACCTAAATCAAGTAACAGTACAAAGAACAGATTTTAGAGGTAATTTTAAGAATAAAAAAAGACATTATAAATCCTGATAGAAACACAAGTAATAAATCACACAGATTTTTTTTCATATTTTCATTCATTTATTAAGAAATGAAGAAGACCCATATGGGTACTTAATGATTTTTTTAAATAAGTCATCGAAGGGGATCCTCAGGAAGTACAGCTAAACAAATTGCATCTATCATACAGATGACTGGAAGTTAGCTAAAAATATAACTTCTGTAAGAAAAGATCCCTCAGCAAGCACAACTTCACATACAGAAACAGAAGTGTCTATTTTACACCCTTCAACACTTCCTTCTTTGTATCAACGCAAAACACTCGTGCATTTCTTTGGCTACCTTTTCAGTGCCCACAGCTATTCACCACTGCTATACTTTAAGTTGCTGCTTTGGAAAAGGCAGAAATTTTGGCAAAAAAAGACATTTACTCAGCAGG